CATGACCATTTGCATATTCTAAACTTGCAAGTCACAATAATTGAGTTAATATTACCAAAAACCATTCAATTCCAACTGACATATACACTCATGTCCTAACAAGTTCAAATCGTCCATCCAAAAAATAAAAGTATTTTCCTCAAGTAGCAAGAACATGCCATGTTTTGAGTTCGCAACCTCATGCACACTGATCATTTGGGCCCAAAAGGACCCTGGTAATCTGTATCAAATCTCGGTTGATAACCAAACTCATCTTGCGGGGGATTGGGTGAAGATGTATTCGGAGCTTCTGATTGTCTCCCCATTTGGCCCATTGGGAATGCAGGTTCTATTGGGAGTTGCATTGGCATTGCATGAGGAAATGATGGCCCACTAGCATGAAACAATGGCCTAGCAATAGGGAATGCTGTCCCTACAGGAAGAAATGCTTGCCCTGTGTGAGGCAACGATGGGGTAGCACTAGGCGGGCGCATCCCGTACGCACTAAAAGCAGTGAATTGCTACGATAGAGAAGCCTGCATCCTCCCAATTTCTTCCATCATCCGTTGCATTGCTTCTCGTTGCTCTTTGACTTGCTCTATTTCATCTCGCATCATTTGCATTGCCTCCCTATCTTTCGCTTGTTTTCGGCCATGTCTGATAACATCAAGCTCATATATGAATTCCCCTTTGGTTGTCGCTTTCTATAAGTAAACCCAAGTTCCTCTGGGTTTACATGTGAACCAATTCCCGGCATGAAATTGCTATGGCATTCACCAACAGCAACTACCCAAGCGTCATTGTCCCGTGGCAGCCATGATGCTGAGTCCGAGCCATAAGTAGTAGAGCACTCACTGACATATGTATCCTATAAAAGTAATGCAAAAAAAACCTACAATATATGACTGCAAATTTTTGCCACAGTAAACACATAACAATGCCGAAAAATGTAACCATTATTATTTACGAACAAGTGAGAACAAAGTAGCAATCATGGAGCGACAATCAATACCCAAGCACAATTGTTTCAAGAACACCTACACATACTAATACTTACTCATGCAAAATTTTTTTTATATTGTACTTAACACCACTAACTTTATTAATATACCTTTTATTCACTTTTTCCAACAATCTATGTCACTCATAGAAAACTTTTTATCCAGTATGTTTGCACTTACATGATGATCCTTATGTTTGTCGCCACACCATGGAGCTTCCTGCCCTTGGGGGAAGCCTTTTCGCAAAGTGTGTGTTTCCTTATATAGGTCTTGGTGTGCTGGCCTTATCCCCCCAGCAGCTTTGGTCTATGTGTCACAACCACATTACGACAAATAGCAAGTTATTTATATTTATAGTTAATCGATAATCATACAAAAAAGTAGTATATATTGTTTTCATTATCTATTATATATATACACTTTTCTTTCTTTTCTTACTTACCATCCATTCTTCATGTACATCAAAACTCACTGATCTTGTAGTGTGTGAAACTTGTTCCCCAGATGCTCGGTTTTTCTTCCCCCTCTCGCTAAGAATGTGAAACTCATCAGAATCCCAATAAGTGCATAATGTAGGCCATAGGTGCTCGGGCACCCATACCAGCCTATACTCACCATTTGTACGCCACTTATCCCGCTCATCCTTCATATTATCGCCCTATCCTTTCTTCATTGATCTTAAGAACGCCTTTCGGATCGCATCCTCATCCTATACAGCCCATTGATAATGTGTCTGTCACCACATACAAACAAATTATTTCCAAGTAACTTAATAACATATAGTATAATAACACAATATATACACCATATCTCATTTTTTCGTATATAGTTAATTACTATTCTGTCCATACGAAAGAGCTAATCGAAACAAATTAAAACTTTTAATACTTTATTGATAAACTCAGAATTATAAGGATTTTTGTGTCATATGATGACTGTTGTAATACCATATTGTTTTACCAATGTCATATGATGATTTTTTTTATTCATTTTTTTCATGTTTTTAAGGTGTATGCAGTACTCATACCATTAATTGCCTGTATCGACCAATGCACCAACAATATTGATTTTTGCTTCATCATATATGTTGTTATGTTATCAGTAATCATATAGTACATATTTGATGAAAGGATTATGTATGAAATGATAATTATTCTTACCTTAGACAACTCTCACACTTGCACCTTTTTGTGTTCTGGGAACAACTCATACGTGAAGTAATCACCATCATAAACCCTCTTCCATAGGGTCGTAATCAATCTTGGGACTTCAACATCCAAGAATGTACATTTATGCGAAATTTGTATAAATGGTCTCTCATCTGGTCTTCTTGCAGCCTTTTTCGGTTTGTTTGGACCTTTTCCCTTCTGCTTCTAGCTAGAGGATGCGGCTGCTACATGAATAGAACCCTGTGGACTAATAGACTGAGTATGCCCCGCGTTCATTACTGGGGTAACATCACGTGCAAGATCTACAGCGTCGTAACGTCCTCGTCTCCCTGATGTGGGGCGACTCTGCGCGGAGTTAATGGGCCCGCCTGACATCTTGCAAAACATATGGTCACATAAAGAAGGTAAGTGCTAATGTCACCAAATAAATACATGTCCAATTTATAAATTTTCTTTTTATAAGCATTTACAATAGCATAAATAATGTCAATGAAACAAACAATGAAGAAACAGTCATTAGTCATTCATAAGTATATTTGTTAATTAGGAAGTCTCATACATAAGATTTTTTTTATTTTTTTAATGACAACCAAATTTTAAAACTATTGCTTTACATGACTTTCAATTATTTAATGACTATTCAGTCTCGCTACTATCGCCACCAGCATCGCTTCTTGTTTCATATCCATCATTTCCTTCACTCGCATTTTCATCAACATCATCATTTGCATTTCCATTTAAGTCAACCATTGTTGCTCCTTCTGCATGCAAATCCACACATTCTGTGGATGCCAAATTGGAACTATGCTTTAATGATTGTGTGGATGGTGGCTCCTCATCTTGGAATATTTCTTCTATATCAAGTGAAGTTGAACAAGTGTCAATCAAATGTCTAGCACGTATTTTGCATGCGACGAACCATCCGTTAGTTGCTCAATTATCTGATGGGTAACTAGTGTAATACACTTGCGTTGATTGACACGCAAGGCAAAATGGCTCATCGGTCGACAGTCGATATTGTGGGTTGACCTCAACAATATCGTAAACTTGGTTAATGCGTGTTCCTCTATGTGTATCGAACCAATCACAATTGAATAAGACAATTGTCTGTATTTGTGCATGTGGTCCATAATACAATAGTTCGATGACTTCGTTAAGGATGCCGTAATAATTAGTCTCGGCATTATCAGATATGGTTGTTCCTTTCACACATATACCACAGTTATATGTTTGTCTTTCACAACTGACTTTTTGTGTCATAAATCTAAAACCATTGACATAATAACCTCTGTAGACATTGACTGTCCATGATGGGCCCAGTGCAAGGTATTGCAAAACCTCATTCCCTTCATGATGGCCATTTAACACCTACCAAATTTATATGTTCATGTTATTAGTCAAATTTATAGTATTTTTGTTAAAAACTCAATTAGGTAATATATTGTATATTGCCTAATTATATATATAGGTATATAATAATATTTGAAACAACATAACATGATGAAGAATATTGTTTACCCTATCTTTGAACCACGTAACAAAACTTTTGTTGCGTGCTTTCTGTGGATCAGAAGGGGTCATATATACACCAACTTCTCAATCAAAGATGCTGAAATATCGAAACAATTAGGTGTGACCACAAATGGAATGTTGAACTAGCTTGCTATAATCCAGCAAGCTTTCCCTAAAAATTTAATAAAAAAGAGTTTAGTTTGTCATATCTCACCTAAGAAGCGCATCAACTTCCCTACAGTTTAGTAGGACATAAAGTTCAGCCGCCTTCATCTCTTGAGTAGTTAGACAGCGTGTCTGTGAATGTGAACCCATTGGATGACCAAGGCATGCAAATATTGAGAATTTTGTGTTCCTATAAAGTGGAACTGCTACAAAGTTCCTTGGGGGCTTATTCCAACTTGTTTCAACATCCGCACCAAAATATCGAGAGCAAAAATCTGTTATTTCATTGAGAATGTATGCTTCGACAATGGATGCCTCAACATGATTCTTGTTCCCTATTGTTTGTTTAAGTTTGTGCATTTGTCTGTAAAATTTAAAATAAGCTATGAGCATAACAAATTGTTATATATTCTATTGTACATGAAACTATTATGAACTTGTTTGCATTACCGTTCAAATGGGTACATCCATCGAAATTGTACAGGCCCACCAATCCACACCTCGAAAGGAAGATGGATTGCTAGGTGCTCCATACAATCAAAAAATGATGGTGGGAAGATTCTTTCCAACTTACATATTATTTCAACTATCTTTGTTTCCCAAACTGCCATGTCTTTTATGTTGACATTTGGGGAACATAGTGCACGGAAAAATTTACTTACTTCTGTTAATGGACCCCATATAGAATCCGGCAACAAGCCACGGAAAGCAATTGGAATGAGGCGTTGCATGAATATGTGGCAATCGTGACTCTTCAATCCAACTAAGCGTAACTCAGCTAAGTTCACACAATGTGCGATGTTAGATGCAAAACCATCTGGAAATAGCACATGTTTGAGCCACGTACATAGACATCTTTTTTTATCCATGTTAAGTGCATAACTTGCATTTGGTTTGCAAAGCGACCTAGAACGGTCATAGTACAAGTGTAGTTCTTCCCTATCACAGTACAATGGTAAGTCCATTCTTGACTTAACATTATGTTTTGAGGACGAGTCATCCATAACTGTGTGTATGATGTTGTCAAAGAAATTCTTCTCACAGTGCATGACATCAAGATTGTGTCTGATCAGGTTATCCTCCCAATATGGGAGTTCCCAGAAGATACTCCGTTTCACCTAATTGTGTGTTTCACCAAACCCGAAAATAGTTTGGTTTACTGATGGATTTCCAAATAAAACATCAGGTAGTGTGGCCACTCGAAGTCGAATAAAATGACCATCTAATCGTGGAGGAGGGGGCCAAATTCAAAACGGCCCTTAAGGAAATGAGTTGTATCCATTCTGTACGAGTGTGATGCAGGAAGAAACTGTCGATGACAGTCAAAGAATGAGATCTTGCGACCATTTTGCAAGTACAAAGCACGAGTCATTTCCATGCAATATGGACAAGACAGACGGCCATGCGTGCTCCATCCAGAAACCATACCATGGCCGGGGAAACCTGTTATGGTCCACATAAGCATGGCTCGCATTGTGAAGTTCTGTTTACGGAAGCTGTCAAATGTTTCTACCCTTGACGACCATAACCGTTTTAGGTCATCAATAAGTGGACGGAGGAAAACATCAATATTTTTTCCTGGACTCTTTGACCCAGAAATAACAAGTGTCAGGAATGTAAATTCAGGTCGCATGCACATTTCAGGAGGAAGATTGTAAACAACAATGAAAACAGGTCAACAGGAATATGACCTCGAAGAGTGACCCCATGGGTTAAACCCGTTTGTTGCAAGACCAACCTGGACATTTCGCGGATCAGCTGCAAATGAAGGATGAACATCATCAAAGTGCTTCCAAGCATTAGACTGAGCTGGATGAATGAGGATCTCTGAGTCAACACGACATTTAAGGTGCCATGTCATATGCTCAACGGTTTTACGAGACATGTACAGCCTCTGTAGGCGTGGAATAATGGGTAGATACCACAAAGAATTCCTTGGCCTATCCTTTTTTCCAGTTTGAGCCGAGTTGCGTCTTTTATACCTAGGTTCACCACAAACTGGACAAGCAGTAAGTGACTTAGCCTCTTCACCATAATACAGAAAGCAGTTGTTGACACATGCATCAATTTTGACATAGCCTAAACCTAGGCTTTTCCTAAATTTCTTTGGTTCATAAAAATTTGACGGTACTTTTTGCTGATCTTCCGGACTTAACAATTTCCTACAGCCATGAATGATCTCGTTGTAACCAACACCACTTATGTTGTTTTTGGCTTTGGTGTGAAGCATATATGATAACCAACCAAGCAATGTTTGGTTATTAGATGCTGGTCCAAGCGGGATGGTTGAAGCACGAAACAAGTCATAAAAAGATTGTGCATTATTATTTGGCGTATCTCCAACATTTTTAGATGCAAACTCTGTTTCATTTCTATGGCGATCATTCTCAGATGGACAGAATGCATCATAAACCATGTGATGGAAATCATCCTCAGCATTACCATGTTCCTCAATATTGCTTGAGGATGCCACATCACTTGCGGCAAACCATGGATCAACATTGTTACTTAAAGTTTCACCATGTGCCCACCACACAGAATATGCATCCATGAAACCATATCTCAAGAGATGGTCTGTTACAACTGCCCTATTGTGGTGAGGTAAATTTCCACATTTACTACAGGGGCAACGAATTTTGGCATTCGGGTGGACACCGGGACGACTATATACGAAATCAAAAAACTGTTGTAATCCATTAAAGAATTCGCCATCATAATCTCCACGAGGACCTCGTCGTCTATACATCCAACGACGATCATCTGTCATCTTTAACTGAATAATACAATTAATATTTTAAGTAAATTAAATCATTATTAAAGTAATAATTGTAATTATATAAGTACGGGTAATAGATAAAGAAATGGGAAAAGTTGCAAACATTATTTTCAAACTGGATCAGCTAGGTTGGTTCAATCGGTTGAATCAAAATCGGTTCAAAAAATGAGTCGGTTGATGATATTAACTGAGTTTGAGGTCAAACCGAGTCAAAACCGATCAAACCAGCTCAGACCTAACCTAAACCAAACCGATGAAACCCATTCAACTCAGTCAACTCAATCAACCGGGTCAAAACTTTTTTTTACATTTTCAATTATATATGTGTTTTTGTTTATTTTTTATTTTATATGTTACTAATTAATAGATAATATAATAATTCAATTGTAAAATCTAGTTAAAATCAAATCACAATTAAGGAATGAAATTTTTTAACTTTATGTAAATGTAATTTGAAATTAAATTGTTATTTCAAATTATAAAATGATTGTAATTTAAAATAAATCAATTTGATTTTTAAAATAAAATAAGTAACAACTTTATACAATGAAATTGATGAAATCAACTTAAAATTAAAAATAATCTAAAGTAATTTTACAAATA